GAGTCCAGCACACCGCCCCAGGAGGGAGCCGGGGCGACCGGGGAGGGAGAGTCGTCTGAAGAACGGGAAGCGCAGAGGTCAGTGAAGCAGTAGACGCAGGATTAGGGTTAGCCATACATTTATCCGTCTCGCACGAAGAGCCACTAAAAAGTCGAAGCACGTGCTGAGGTTCGCGTGTTGCATGTAGGATGCAGCCCTCCTTCGCTTGTGATTGAAACATCCATGGTGCGGAAGGAAAGTAACGACCCTTTGTCCCCGTTCCTCATCCTCCAGGTTTGACGAACTGGCGTCCAAACCGGTGTGGCATCGCATGATTTGGGCCGAAACCTTCAGCCACTTCTTGTGGCCGGAAGATCTCGCTGAAGCGATCGATGAGGATCCGGAGGAGATCAACATGATCTTGAGGCTCGCAAAGCCGATCCTGCGAGCCCACGGCATCATCCCGAGGGAGTTTCGAGGCAGGATGGCATGGTGTCTGGTGGGAATTGGACCGATGTACCTCACGCTTTCGACACGCTTGCTGGCTCATGCCATGAGCGCGGAGCCGAATGGACTTCTTTTGTAAGTTCCGACATGGGTGGGTGTGGGCGTGTCGTCGGATTGTACCAATTTTTAAGAATGCTTTTGCTCCACCTCTCGCAGACGGCGCGTACATTTGATGCGTCGTGCGTAAATCGTGCCCGCCTCGCGTCGTGTCCTTTCCTAACTTCCCACGTTTTCCCGACGATTGTTGCCTTCGCCCTCGTAAATCGTGCTCCTGATAGTGGCGGGACGGACCTGCGGTCCAACGGCTTGGTGGCCTCGAAGGGATCCGTGAACCTCACGAAGTTTTACTTGGATTCCGTGGCGTTGGTGTCGGATGTTCACAGTAAAACTAAATGTCGCCGTTGCGGAGCTAGTGTGCCGGTAGGGGGGTGGACGTACGTCCGGCTCGAGTCTGTGGTGTTTCCCCTTCTCAACCCGGGCGAGGTTGCCGAGGTCGGAATTCAGTTCCGTTGTCAATGTGGAGCAATTCACGTAGGCGAGCCGTTGCCAACGCGAGGAGAGACCGGAGAGGCGTGGAGTTTGTCGGACATTGTCGTGGAAGCGATAGGGCACACATGCCCGGTAAAAGAAAAGGCTCCTGTGATGAAACGTAAGAGGACCGATGTCTCGGGTGGGGAGGGAAGCATGTGGGTTACAAATGATATAACTCCCGAGTCAAGGGCGAAGCGGAAACCGGCGAGCGCCGAGGCGTGCGGAGAGGGAGGCGCCGCGCCGGAGGGAAGGACACACCAGACGTCACGACGGCGCTCTGGAACAAGCACGAGTGCGGTGGTATGGGGGCTTAATTAGGAACCTCCCCTACAGATAGGAAGCACGACGAGGTCGGGAGGGAGTGGGCGCAGGTATGTGGCTAGTCATAAGTGTTTGAGCTCGTACAGTTTGCAGAAGATTGTGCCGAAGTCGAACTCCTTCCAAGTCCAGCCGATCACATTTGTCACCACTCGCCCCCCCCCGCCCCCCTCCCGTTTCCCCCGTCGTGTCCACTGTGCCCTTTCGACCCCCCCTCCATGCGTTGATGCCGGACCACACCTCCGCAGGCAGCAACACGGACAACAACGCGGAGCTGGCGTCGAAGGTTAGGACGGGGGGAGCAGGAGGAGGCAGGAGGGAGGCAGGGGTGTGTGCAGCGTGCTTGGCCGCTGGCGTGAGACGCGATTCCCTCCTCTCCAACAAGCACGCGCGAAAGGGTCCCAAAATCTGCCTTGCGATCCAGAAAAAAATTCGCGAAGAGGGTGGTCACACCTCGACAACCGGCGATGACAGTACGAGCGAAGACGGCAGTGCCAGCGACGAAAATTCGAGCGAGCACGATGCCGGTGAAGAAGATACAGACAGTTAAAAGGAATGTGTATTTTCTTCTTTTCTTCCGGACGAGTACCCAACCGGAGGGATTTTTCGGAGGGATTTTCCGTTTGCACACTCCGGGCAGCTGATATTGAGCTGATGTTGTGTGTTTTTTTCCAATGTACGTGTGCATCGGAATTGGCACGTCGTGGTACACAGGGTTTTTCCGGAATAAAAGCAAAAACAATGTGAAGTAATGATAAAAAAAAAAAATGGGAGCAATGCTCGCACGGCGGCGGCCCACGGCGTGCGGCCTCCCCGAGGAGTGCAACACACGACAGCAGGCTAA